AAGAGCGGGGCAGATGGGACTCATTGGAGTGCAGTCTGCACTTGGAGTAAGATAGAGGGCATGGCCCGTCCAGGAGGACTCTTAGAGGCCATCTCATCCAAATCCCAGGCCACAAGGTTAAGTGAACAGCCCAAGTTGCATAGCTAGTGACAGGACAGATATTGGGCCCTAGACCCCCAAATCTCAGTTTCTGCCCTTGCTTGCTCTTGTTTGTATTTTTTCTATTACCTTTAAAAATATATATTGATATATGAAAACTACAAAGAAATTTATTAACATATATGTAAGTTTGAAGCATTATGATGATATATAACGGATACCCTTGAACCCACTACCCTGTGCAAGACCTATGGATAGCAACTTTCATCTGTCCTTGGTGGCCTCTTCTCTCATAACCACTGTTTTCACTTCTCTGGATTTTGTATTTATTGTTCCCTTGTCTTGAAAGAAAAAAATCTTGATAAGTTTAAAACACACTCACACTCATATGTCTAAGTAATAGAGAGTTCAGTACAGGCAGTCCCCAGGTTATGAACGAGATCAGTTCCTAAGTGTGTCTAAGAATTTGTAGTTCAGTTGGATCAGGTGCATATGGTTCTTATTTAGCCTTTCTTTCGTGCAAGAAAAGGCTCGAAGCCTTTTCAATGATTTAAAAGCTGCACGTGCAGCAAGTGAAGGTAATTGTGATGAAGAATTTGTTGTGAGTAGGGGTTGGTTCATTCATTTCAAAGTGGGGCAAATTTACATAACATTAAAGGGCAAGTACCAGTTTTCTATAAGTCACGTTCTCCTAACCAGGGCACTTACTCTATTGCTTGTTTTTGAGCTTTATAAAAGTGACAGCATCCTAGGTAGTCCCCTGGGACATCCCCTCACCCCAATCTCCATCACCTCTATTTCTAGGGTCATGCATGTTGTTGCGTGTAGCTATAGGTCATCCATGTTTTCTTCATTCTCCTGTGCTTGTACCTGTTTGGACCCCTTAGGGTTTGGCATGACTACAAAGTGAATGATTGCAAACTCATTGCCGTAAAGTAGATTCAAACTCATAGCGACCCTATAGGACAGGATAGAACTGCCCTATAGGGTTTCCAAGGCTATAAGGCTTTATGGAAGCAGACTGCCATATCTTTCTCCCATGGAGCAGTTGGTGGGTTCGAACCACCGAATCTCTGGGTTGGCAGCCGAGCACTTTAACCACTGTGCCACCAGGGCTATTTGAATGGCTCCAGTTAACTCTGATTTTAACTTTTTACAGGCTGTCATTAAGCTTCCTCATGTTGGTTCGCTTGGAAGCATTTAGTCATTTACTAATTTAATGATAGTTAAACATTCTTAGCCCTACAAATTTGTAGTGAAACATTTCCAATTAAGATTAATTGGCATTGATGAAAAATATTAGTTAGACAGTTTTACAGCAGTATTTTAGTGCTTTCTACTAGGTACAGTTAGACGAAGGACTGTCAGGAAGGAACACTTTATGCTGCTGGCACCCATGCAGGGGTGAGGGTGCAAACAGCATATTGAGGCTGGGGGGTGAACAGACTGTTGAAGGGATAAAACAGTGTCTTATGATGACTCTGTCTGGTCAAGTTAATGTATTTTCTTTTCCTGTATTGTACCCTGCTCAGTTTCTAGTTAATCCCTTCTGGATCCCAGTATGTGCTGGATTAAAGTTTCAAATTAGCTGGGCCTGTTTATATCTGAGTTTGTTTTTCAGTTCTCAGGAAGATTGTTAATATCCAATTGAGAATGTTTTCCAAAAACCAGAAATCCTTAGAGGTGTGAGTGGTCCATGAATCACAATTGTGTGTAAAATGTTTCTGTGCGGGAGCAGTTTTCTGGACAGAGGAGCTTTAACTTTGATTCGTTTCTAGGAGCCTGCAACTGCCCAAATTTTAAGACAGATGATTTTAGACCAGGGTTTCTCAGCCTTGACTTCATTGACATTTTGGGCCTGGTAATTGGTGTGGCGCAGTGGTTAGAAACTCGGCTGCTAACCAGAAAGTCGGCAGTTCGAATCCACCAGCCGCTCCTTGGACCCTTATGGGACAGTTTTGTGCTGTTCTATAGGGTCGCTATGAGTCGGAATTGACTCGATGCCAAAGGTTTGTTTGTTTTTTTAAATATGTTGTAGGTGGGGCTGTCCTGTGCACTGTAAGATGTTTAGCAGCATCCCTGGCCTCTACTGACCAGATTTCAGTGCTCCTCCTCCCCCAGTTGTGACAGCAGATTTCACTTGAATCGTTTATGGTTTTCTTTTCTTACGTGGCCAGAAGAATACATAGTTATGTATAGAGTTTGAACATATAGTTTAAAGTGAACTCTAGTTTACTTTGAACTCTAGAGTGATAAAGACTTCAGCGTTGGAGTAAGTGGGGGTATTGTTATAAAATATATTTAAAATATGTATTTACACACTCAAACACACAGAAAATATTTCCAATCATTACCCTGGCTGGTGCAAATGGTTAACATGCTCAGTTGCTCACCAAGAAGTTGGCTTTTCAAGTCTACCAAAGGTGCCTCAGAAGAAAGGCCTGGTGACGATCTACTTCCAAAAAATCAGCCATTGAAAAAACCCTGTGGAGTACAGTTGTACTCTGATAGACATGGGATTACCATGAGTCAGAATTGATACAACAGCAATTGCTTTACTGTATTAAACAGTTTACATGCATTATCTAAATCATTGTAACACTCTTAAGAGGGTAGATAGTGTACCCATTTTATGGATAAGTAAATAGAGGCTCATAGAGAGTCAGAAACTTGTGTAAGGTCACAGAACTGGGAATGGAATATAAGTCTCTCGTGTCAAATCAAGGAGCCCTGGTGGCATAGTGGTTAAGTGCTTGGCTGCTAACTGAAAGATGGGCTTTTCCAACCCACTAGCCACTCCATGGGAGAAGGATGTGGCAGTCTGCTTCTGTAAAAGATTTACAGCCTTGGAAACCCTATGGGGGCATTTCTACTCTGTCCTGATTATAGGGTCGCTAAGAGTCAGAATCCACTCTACAGCAATGGATTTGGCTTGGTTTTAGTGTCAAATCAGCTCATCTGTGTTGTCTACCCTAGATGTGGTGTTAAAATGTTTCCCCATGATAGTGGACCAAACACATGTCACCGTGGCCTTGGCTAATGTGTTGGCTTAGCAGTGCCTGGCACAAGTAGGGAATTTATGGGATGTTTCATTAAACAAAACAAGTGATAGGATTTCTGGTGGATTTTTTTTCTTTGCAGTTTGTTGTGTGTCCCAAATTGTCACTGATAACTGTCTTAGGCAAGGGACAAGTTTTTTTTTTTAAACAGCCCACTATATATATCATATCAGTATCTGAAAATGAAGCTGACTATTTAACTGCTCCATTTAACATGGTGAATGTAAGACGGGTCTGTGCCCCACAGCCTGCTGTGGTTAACACACCTGGAGTGTGGATACTGATAGCCAAAGGCTGCATTTCATCACAGCCAAATGTGACATTTCCAGGAATGCTTTATATATTTTGTGAAGACTCCTTGGCATGTTGATTAAGGGCTTTAAAAAACCTTGAAACTGATCTGAGCAGAGCAGATTCCAGCTACAAATCAGATCAAGTCTCTCTGATTGGTAGTGTTGGGGACTCCATCTGCCTTACTTGCTGTTGCCTGCACTTCTTAAGAGTAGCATACAAAGGTCTTCACCATTTTACGTGGGTTTCCTTTCTCACCTATTTCTTGTTGCTCATCCTGAGGTTTAGCCTCATGTGTTAATAGTCTGCTGTGCACACAGTTTGCTTTGCACTTTACCAGTCTTGTCCCCATTGGGTCCCTCCCTTTGTCCCTTTTCCCCTCCCTCCTTTCCTTCTTCCCTCCTTTCCTTTATTATTATTATTTTTTTATGTATTTATGGTAGGTGGCTCTCAGTAAATATTTGTGATATAAGTATTAAACGAGGAGGGCATTGTGAAGCACACAGTGCATGGCATAAAGAAAGTGCTCAATAGGGTAGTTATGTTTACCCTCCCAGTGCCCCTCAGCAGCAGTGACCACAGTGTACTGCACTCACGGTCCACTTCACCATCTAGAGTGAGCTCCCCAGCTATAATGGGGGCCAGGACTTAGTCTAGCTTGCATAGGGTTTGACAACTGGGAAAATTTGTTGTTGTTGTTAGGTGCCATTGAGTGGATTCCGACTCATAGCGACCCTATGTGACAGAGTAGAACTGCTCCATAGGGTTTCCTAGGCTGTAATCTTTACGGCAGCAGTTTGCCAGGTCTTTCTCCTGTGGAGCTGCTGAGTGGGTTCAAACCGCCAACCTTTTTGTTAGTAGTCAAGCGCTTTTATCATTTGTACCACATAGGGCTCCTTTGGGAAGATTTACCAAGCTTTAAATGAAACCCCCTTTTTTTTTTTTCCCCAATACATTGGTATACTGGAAGTGGAAAAGAGAATGCAGAGCAGACCTCAGATGACAAGTTCTGATCTTTTCCCCAACTTGAGAATCATTCAGTAAAGCACTTTTAACATCTGTGTGCATCTTGGCACTTGTTTTTGCCTGGCTTTGTCCCTGGCTTAGAGCTCATCAAAGAACCTGGCCTGGTGATGGTACCTGATGTTTCTCTCCAGGATACAGCAAAGGATAAAGCCTCATCTGCTACTTGAGCAGGCTCACCACAGAACCAGCTGGGAGTCAGTACCTCTCCATGTATCAAGGTCTGCTGCTTAGAAGGAGGAAAGTCGATAAGGCTTTGAGATGTGGGTAAAAAGGGAGAGCAGATCTTTTGTATCTTTCTGAATGCTTCCACTTAAGATAGAGACTATTATCACTGAGGGCCTAGGCAGCCTGCTCGGTGGTCTCACGCCAAGTTACAAGTACATGGAGACATGCCAGAGGGCCCGCTGCAGTGCTGTTTGGATTTTAGAATTCCATGGGCAAGACAACAGCTGGAAAAATGCCTTTTAAAAAGTTTTTGGTGTTCGTATTGGCAAAACTGACTTAAGCACTTTTCTTTTTCCACAGAGTGATCAACAGCTGGACTGTGCCTTGGACTTAATGAGGCGCCTGCCTCCACAGCAAATCGAGAAAAACCTCAGCGACCTGATCGACCTGGTATGTGCCTTGTTCATATGGTTTCATGTGGGACTGTGGCTCATAATTGGTTGCTTTTGTGTAGCTTTTTCCGTGCAGAATTCAAAATACACAGGGAACCTTCTCTTTCCCCAGCCAGACACTGAGCTATGAGATTCTTCTAGATACATAGAAGATGAGCTTCACATGGTTAGCTCTTTTTAAGAGCCATCAGTGTTGATAAAACCTGAGATAATTCTAAAGTTGATTACCGTCTGCGGGTGCCTCCCACAACTACCTTGTCTTCAGTTTCTAGCACCTTGCATCTAGGCATGGTGAGCAGGATGCCACACACAACCAGCGGGCATTCAGCACTGTCAGCAGTACCAGGCTTTATTAATCTCTCGTCTATTATGTGCATTTCTCTAGCCAAAGGTATACAAACATTTCCCCTGTAAGGGCTTCAGAGGCTTCTTCATTTCTCGTTTGAAAAGGTATAACAAGCAAAATTGACTTTTAAAGAGCTCATCATCACATCTATGTTTAAAATATTCAGTTTATTTTTTAAGACTCAAAATGATGCCTCAGCTTAACTGGCTCCATAATATTATTTGAAAATGCTCAGAATATTTTAAAAAAATTTATGTTGCATAAGACACTGTAAGGTAAAATACTAACATCTATAAAGTCATAGGAAATATTAAAAACTGAGGGAAAAAATCACACTCCAAGAGGCCAACTGAGTTACCCTAGATCTTTTGGTCAATAAGTTCTGGTACCAGGCCTGGAACCATTCCATTGGTCCTCTAAGTCCAACTCCTCTCTGCTTTTCTCTGCATCCCGTGTCTTATTAGATGTAATTATCAATTGTCAAATGTGGCTGATGAATAAGGTATCTTTTAAAACAGTGGTTTGAAAACTTGTTCATGTTCTCTAGTGATATATTTAATTCCATTGTGTGAATTCAGAACTGTTATACTGGGTAAAAACAGTACTACAGAAGACTTGTGCCATTCACAGATAAAACTCTTCACAGCAGCCTGGAAGGTTTATAGCGGCACTATTTGTGTGTTTATAAGGATACAGACTCTGAACTGGGAAGCTGATTTGTGGTCCTATTACTATATCTTACATGTAATAGGTTCAGAAGTGAGAAGAAGGTGGTTTCTTGAGGTAAATGACCCTGACAAGAAAGCTAGGTGCAGGTGCTTGTGATGGAATTGAAGAGAAGAAGGTGAGTTCAGAAAAGTGATGGGTCCTGGCCAAAGTTTCAGATGAGTGTTAGAGAATAAAAGGTTGAAATTGTAATGCAAATGAATCCATTATATACTCAGAGTCAGGGATCACAAACCAGGAGCCAGGGAGGTGACGGAAGCGAATGCAGTGGACTTGGTGTGAGAAAAAGGGATTGGCAAGTCAGGGGACCGTCTGAAAGGACAGCTTTCCCTCTGCTGCAGTCAAGTTTTGCCCTGTGGGAGTGTCATCCTCTGTTGCTTGTTTTCACATTTTCCTGGAGGAACTATACATTTGGATTTTTAGGTGAACTAGCCTGATTTTTAAACATTGTCTCAAATATTAGGTTGGTTGGATCTGACTTTGTGTGATATCTGGGCGTGAACATGAGAAATGTGAGGTGTCGGGGTGGGGAGCCATGTGGGCTGCAGAGGTTAGAAGACATAGTCTTTCTAGGGAAATAGTGAAACATAAAGGTAGGATGTGCCCTTGAAAGTCAGAAGGAGTACTTGAATTTGATGTGATAGTAATAGTCACCATCGACTCACTTATTGAGCTTTTACTGTATTCAACACCTTGTGCTAATCCATTTACATGCGTGGCCTTAACTGAGCAGTCTTGTAAGGTAACACTACCAAATACACTCTGGGAAGCGCTGTACATGGTCTTTGCAGTTCACTTGGTCAGAAATTCAGGATCGGTTCTATGTGGAAGAGTTGGGCAAAAATTGAAGGTGTGATCAGATCTTTAATTTGGTCGGCTACAAAGGCTTCTTTTTCTTCAGTATGTATACTTTCTTCTTTAAGTATTGTCTTAGCTGCTATAACAGAGATACCGCAAGTAGGTGGCTTTAACAAATAGAAATTTATTTTGTCATCGTTGAAGAAGCTCGAAGTCTGAATTCAGGGCACTGGCTCTAGGAGAAGGTATTCTCTGTCTGCGCTGGGGGAAGGTCCTTGTCTCGTTTCAGCGTGAGTTCCTTGGCGATCTTCACGTGGCCTATGTCTTCCCCTCCATTTGTGCTTCTTCTCAGTGCTTAATCTGCTCTTTTTGTATCTCAGAGGTGATTGGCATAAAACAAATTCTGATATGGTCTCATTAACATAGCAAGGAAAGTCCAATTCCAAATGGGATTACATCCGCAGGTATAGGAGTTTAGGATTTACAACACGTATTTTGAGGGGACACAATTCAATCCATAACACATATAATGTATGCTTGGCTGAGTTTAAGTTTAGTTTGCCAATGTAGCTATTACTGTATTTTGGAAATAAACCGAACATAGATGTTAAAAGCCACGAGCAAATTGTTCTCCGGAGAATCTTCTTGGTGTTTAACAGGCTATTTGGTTCTTATGGCCAGTGAAGTGTTTTACTTTTTACTACAGCTGTGTCTTTTCTCTGTGATTCCCTCACCACTCTTTATTTCAGAGATGTGCATGTGCTTTTTTGGAAACCTGGCCAACTGGGTCCCTGGCTGTATATGCCAGATTTACGTTGGCTCAGCAGGGAAATGACAGCGTTGGTAGTGAATGAGGAAGAGCAGCACGAGCCATCTTTCACCAGAGCCAAGTATTGGGCACGAGAGATCAGCCCTGAGGTTTAGTTTGCAGAATGATACTTAGACACAGGTTGAAATACCAGACTGTGTCTCTCACTGCTAGATGATATAATATACCACATTCCACAGATTATTGTCAGCATGCACTCACTACGTTTTTTAACTTTGTCTTCTGTAGAATGTGTCTGGGAGATGGGGTAGAGTCAGACCAGGGTTGTGAGGATAGAACACTAACATTTGTTGAACATCTCCTACGTGCCTGGAACTTCTGTTATTAATTGATTTAATTTTCACCACACCCCATTAAGGTGCATACGATCACTCCACCTTTTTAAAAATAATACAAAGAGGCTCAGGTCAGGGTGCAGAACTTGCTGTATACAGGCAGGATTCAGACCCCAAGCCTAACTGTTCCCAATCCTGGGTTCTTTTCTTTGTGCCTGTCCTCTGGCTTTCTCGTCTGTCGTATAGCCACAGAAATAGTAGGTGGAACTAGGAAAGAGTACTAATTATTGAAATTAAATGCTAAAACCTGTCCTCTGTGCAAGTTGCAGTGTGAGGAAGAATCCAAGGTGGTGGTGTGGTACTTGGCAGCTCCAGGGATCCTGATTCCTCCTCCTTGTATACTCTGCTTGCTGGGTACTTTGGGGCCCAATCACTTATATTCAAAGTGACAGATTCAATATCGTGTGCCTTCTTGATGCGTCAGTTTTACCTGTTTGGGAGAGAAAGTGTTAAACAATTTAATTCATTAATAGTCTAAGATATGTTTTATTAAAACAGATATATTATGGAGAATAAAGTTCACACAAATTTACAAAATAAAACTAGAGCCTTGGAAGAAACTCCCTTCTTAGAGCCAGGCTGTTCAGGATTTGCAGTTCGCTTTTGTCTGTCACTTCTTGGGGCAGCTTAAGAGGTGCCGACTTCCCCTCACTGGCTGTGTGGAGGTGACCAGGCTTGGTCCCCATCTACCTCATGAGGCTGAATAAGAGGCCATAATAGATTCTCATTGTCTCAGAATGGGTTGGGGAATCAGTGTTCTCATTAATTGTATTTTAATTGACATATGATGAATGTCAAAATGGAAATGGAGCATGACTTTCAACAAATTAGGATCTGGTAAAGCATGCTCATTAAAACTATATTGGCATGCTTCAGAAGCTGCTTTTGATGGGCTTCCAGGTCCTAACTATGTACCATACGTGTATAAGAGGCAGTTGTACTGAGTCCTATGGCCAGTTGTAAAAATTACTTCTTTGAGTGTTTTCCAGTCATCAGTGCCATTTGTTTCCTGTTTGCCCTGGGAATGACAGTTTATCTTTTCTTTTTAAACTGAACATGCATAGTGTTTCTTTTATTCTTGTAAGAGTTGGCCTGTGTTGAGTGTAGTGTTGTAGTTCTGAAGTCTACATGCAGTTCTAGTTTCTTCCCAAAGCTGTAATTGCAGAAATTCACAGAGTGACGAGTCCATCTAGAAGCAAAGTATCTGGACCTGTGTTTCATGTAACCTGGGATTGGTCAGATGTTTTCTTGGCAGCTAATGCACTGCTCGGTGCACATTGCAGTCATTCCTTCCATGCTCACCTGCCTAAAACAATGAAGTGGGGAGGTGGTTGTTTTCAAGAAGTCTCCAGTTTTAAGACTGACAAGAATGTTAGGATTTGCCAGTGTTCCCCATGAACGGAATGGCCTCGCTTAGATGTCAGAGCCAGAGAACTGTAGGGGAATTTATCCCATCCACCAGCGGTCTGATTATAGAGTAGTTAGTATTAAAGAGAAATTTGGCATATGCTTGGCAGCCAGGCCAAGGCAGCCCAATTTATCTTGCAAGATCAGCTTTCTTTTTTTCTTTTTTCTTTCCAGCTTCAGAACTTTTGCTGCCTTGGGATTATGATGCACGCTCTGATTGGTGGAAAATGACCTTCCTTTGCAGATGGCTAAAACATCATTTTATTACATATTAATCCCACTGTACTAGAATGAAGCCAGCTGAAATCCGTTGTTAAGCTGCTTCAGAAATACCCACATGTCTTTGTGGGCCAGGAATCAGATGACGTTAAGATGCTTTCTTGGCTTGCTGAACTTTGACCTTCTCAGGCTTTATGCTGCACGCTGGCAGCAAGAGTCGAATCTTCTCGGCTGGGGTGTATTTTGAGCCCTGAGCTAAGGAAGGAGTTTGTTTCTACAAATTGGCACCCAGCAGGCCATCTGTCCCTTTGCCTTTTTAAGAGTAAACCAAAAATAGC